GACAGTCTGAAGGCCTAGGGTACATTTCGAACACAGACACTACTGTTACTCCTTCTGTGAGTCATACTTAAGAAAAAACTGTCATTTTAGCTCAAGTTTGCTTCCCTCGTTCTGAGCCAGGGTGGAGTCCAGTAGGAGTGAAAGAATCCTGGCTCGTCCCATAGAATATCAGGGCTAGTTGTCATTTTTCTGGGTCCCACATACCCCCTTAGTTATCCAGTTATTTTAAGTGATTAGTTCTAAAATTACTTCAACACTAACAGGCTTATTGATTGTTGACCCCAAAATGCACAGATGGAGAAATTGAAAATGTAATCCTTCACCATATAAATAATCACAAGAGAATTTCCTAACAGCTGTCTTGGATCTTTTATGAGGTCACCTGTGTTTTCTGTTATTTTACTTGTCCCCAGTGTCTTCTCAAATTTGAGGCTGATTTTCAAGCTTCCTTCCTTTCTTCCTAATCTTTTGATTATTCAGTGGTCTCATTAGGGGGAGGGTCACTCAATGTGGTAAGTCATGTTGTCACTCACCACCCCTGCACTGCCTCCTGTACCAGACCATACAAAAGCCTTAGTAAAGTTTATTACCCACATTTAATCTTAGAGTGATATGTGATTAATATAATCATGAATTGATTAAATGTAATATTTCTTTTATTGTTCTTGTCAGATGCCATTCAGTTGACTCCAGCTCATAGCAACCATATGTACAACAGACCAAAACACTGCCCAGTCATGTACCTGTCCCACAATGCTTGCTGTACCTCACCCCATCTTTGCAGCCACTGTGTCAATCCATCATGTTGAGAGCCTTCTCCTTCTTTGTTTACTCTCCACCTTACCAAGCATGATATCCTTCACCAGGGAATCCTCCCTTCTAACAACATAACCAAAGTAGGTGAGACCAAGTGTGGCCATTCTCACTTCCAAGGAGCATTCTAGCTGTATTTCTTCCAGGACAGATTTGTTAGTTCTTCTGGCAGTCCATGGTACATTCAGTATTCTTTGCCCACACCACGATTCAAAAGCATCAATTCTTCTTGGTCTTCCTTATTCAACATCCAGGTTTCTCATGCATATGAGGCTATTGAAAATACCATTGGGTTCCAAAACCAAATAAAACTCACTGCTGTAGAGTCAGATGTGATTCATAGAAACCCCTCCTTGGGTTTCCGTGGCCGTATCACGATGGGCACGGATTGCCCAACCTTCCTTCCGAGGGGTGGCTAATGGGTTTGTACTTCCAGCCTTCTGGTTAGCAGTCAAATGAGAAACACCATAGTCTTCAAAGAGATATCTTTAGTCTTCAGCACTTGAAAGAGGTCTTTTGTAGTAGGTTTGCCCAGTGCAATATGTCATCTGATTTCTTGACTGTTGCTTCCACTGGTGTTGATTGTGGATCCAAGTAATATGAAATTTTTGACAACTTCAATAATTTCTCCATCTATCATGATGCTGCTTATTGGTCCAGCTATAAGGATTTTCCATTTCTTTATGTTGAGGTGTATATCATACTGCAG